GAAAAGGTGATAGAGAAAGAGAGAGAGAGAGAAAGAGAGAGAAGAGAGAATTCTGGTTCGAACTGATAGAGTCAACTTGACTTCTCCCAGTCGGCCAGTAAGTATTTATATTATTATTAAAACATGACTGAAAAGACCTATGTGCCCTTACTTAAGTTAAGAGCACATGTTCCAACACAACACTACAAATCATCAACATCAATCAAGGTATAAAGACAGAAATACCCCTACACTAACAATATGCTTGATTTTATTTTTAAATTTTCATTTGAATACACTTTACATGTTATGTTTATGTATTTTAATTTTAGATAATAGGTTTTTTAAAAATTTATTTTAAAATTTAAGTTCATATTTTTTATTAATATTATGTTTAATATTTTTTATTTTTATTTTTTTTACATTTTTTTGAAAAATTGGCCTTTTTTTGAATTTTCTGACTTTTTTTTTGTATTTTGCCCATTGCTTCAGAAAGGCGTGCACCTTGCCTTGTGCCTTGCACCTCGGGCACAAATTGGCCACTGTGCCTTTTTTGTGCCTTGCACTTTTAAAACACTGCCAACAATAAACTACAAAGTCAAGACACATTAAAAGCTCAAAAAATACAGCAGAACCAATCATATTCAAAAGAATGCATATTTCAAATTGCAAGAAAGAGTGTTTATTAGATAGATGAGGTGGTTACATTCCTATTGGTATTGGATGTACGACTTTGTAAAAAAATGTCAGACCCCAAACTTTTTTATGTTTTATTTGATTTTTTTCCTTGGACATTTTGTTTTCTCTTGCAATTTGTTATTGTGCTGTATTTGAAAACCAAATTTGGTCCCATGCTTTCAGGTGGCCCTGGCAGTGGAAAAGGTACACAATGTGCAAAGATTGCAGAGGCCTTTGGGTTTACACATCTTAGTGCTGGGGATCTGTTAAGGAAGGAGATATCATCCAATAGTGAAAATGGGTATGTGATGATGCTTATTATCTTCACTCTGATGAGGGTTTTTCAGTTCACATGCACGCTTAAACTACCAGTGGTTCTTTGATGGTGGTTAGAATTTTGTTTGCAGTGCGATGATCCTTGCCACAATTACGGAAGGAAAGATTGTTCCTTCAGGAGTGACAATTAAACTTATTAGGAGGGAGATGGAATCAATTGAAAACAATAAGTTTCTCATCGATGGCTTCCCTAGAAGTGAGGAAAATCGTATTGCATTTGAACGGATTGTGAGTTTCTCTGTCTACTTCTTTTGAACTAGGCTTTATGGAACTATATTTCCCTCTTTCTATTCTGTCCTTTAGTATTTTGCTTCTCTTTTTTCATGTACTTGATACAGATATTGAAACAAGGAAAGTGTCCATGGAGAAACAAATCAGTTTTTCCATTCCTAGAGCAGCCTGAACAGTTTCAGAATTTTTGTAATGATAGAATATTTATTTGTATTGTTACACTTTATTTATTTTTTAGTTAAAGGTATCTTAAGATTTGGATTTTTTAGAGTTTTGTTGTTATTTCAAAATTATTATTTATGATTTGTTGGGCTTACTATTTATAGTAATTCTTGCAATTACTATTTATAGTAATTTTTGGTATCTTTAAATTTAGTTGGTTTTAGTGGGATTACGAAAGTTTTGTTATAGTTGTTTAGGAGTCAGAATCCTTGTGTTCATCTGGGTTACCCATGGGTTTCTCTTAGTTTTAAAGCATTAGAAGTTGTTTTAGGTCAGTTTCCTWGTCCAAGTTGGAGTTTGTAAAGGGAATAAGTTGAGTCTATAAAATATAAATAATTAAACAGTCATTGTTATTGGAGTTGAAGAAGAAATAAAGTTTGGTTTAATTGATAAAAAAAAAAAAGTTGGGTTTAGAGAATACTGGTTGTGCTGGGAATTTTAGTGGACAGAAAGCTGTCTAATTGCTTTTCCATCTTCGTTTTTTCAAGTTTATACAGCACCATTCCTCTTGAATCCTAGGGATAAGGATTTTACCCTGTGGACTCTTTGAATGCAGTTGAGTCTTTACTAACCTTTTACTTTGGCATAAACTGCAAATTGTTCCAGTTCATAACCAAAATATTTCCATAATTAAGTTTATAATTTTTTTTTGTTTGAGAAGGTTAACTGAGACAATTAAGTTTATGATTTTGTTCCAAATACCATAATTATTGATCCAATGGATTATGACCTGACCATGTGGCTCTTTAGTGCGATTGAAATTTCTATTATCTTTTTCTTCGCATAAACTGCAAGTTGTTCCAATACCTAGCAGAGTTATTCCGTAACTGACTTATGATGCTGTCCACTCAAAGTATTATAATTTTTTTGAGAAAAAGTACCAACAATGTGTGATTTTAATTACCTATAGAAACTAAGGATAGTGCACTGAAACTGATGAAAAAAGGACAGTGCAGTGAGCCCTTTGCACTAATTTTCCTTATAAATCCTAAATCTAGCACAAACCCCATTTTGTATTAATTAATTTTTTATCAGTTAAAGATAAAATATATTTCTTTATATTTTTTCTTGTTTTATTTTGATCGAGAAACATAGCTTCCTAGAATCATGTTCTTTGACTTYTTGGAAATCCCGATGGATAAATATTTAACTAAATAAGAATAAAAATAAAATCAGAAGTGAACTTTAGAACTATGGCTTTATGCAAAAGTACAAAAAACAAAGGGAAGTACCTATTTCTGTAATTTCCCTTTGTTTTTTGGCCTTGTGTAAAGCAAAGGGAAATTATAGAAACAGGTACTTCATCTTTGGCAAAGTTCTCCTTAACTAATAGTCATTTTAGAAGTATCTTCGCACAAATTTCAATTGGAGTTTTTTTTTTTCAAAGCTTAGTTCCATATTTGCTAATTGTAAGTGAAACTTATGAATGACCATTAGACCATATTAGTAATTTTTATTTTTTTCCTGCTTGTGCAGACTGGAGTTGAACCAAACATTGTTCTATTTTTTGACTGCCCTGAAGATGAGATGGTGAAACGAGTGCTAGGTCGTAAACAGGTATTTGGCTTGCGTTTCTTCATGCCTTTCTGGAATTTATTTTCTTGATTAAAGTGTGACATTTTTGTTGTTTTGACTCAGGGACGAGTTGATGATAATATAGACACCATTAAGAAGCGCCTTAAGGTGTTTGCAGCATTAAATCTTCCTGTAATAAACCACTATACTCGAAGGGGCAAAGTTTACAAGGTGTTCTTTATGTATTTTGTTTTACCGAAATTTTTTAATATTATGCTGCTTAATTTGGGATATAGCAATTAAGGCTTGAAACTATATCCCATTTAACTTAGTTATATTCTCTTCTGCAGTTCATACAATATTTTGTTACCATTCATACTTGTTATTACTTGTTGAGTTTTATGTCAATGTTAATAGTAACATATACAAATGCATGCAGATCAATGCAGTAGGAACAATAGATGAGGTATTTGAAAAAGTCCGACAGGTGTTTGATGATTGTAAGGTATATCTTCTTTTCAATTTATTTTAAATGTAAAGTAATTGCGTATTTTTTAAACAGTTAGGGGCAGGAATAATGAAGTTTAGTCTGTCCAATGTAAATCATGCAAAATTGATAGCAACTTGCAAAGTTTTCTGCATACCATAACTCCAAACTAGCATGACAAATATTGACAATATTCTTCTAATGGTCAGAACATAATAATGAAAACAAAAAAGAACACACAAATAGATAAGTTAATGCATTTTTATCTCAGTTGAAGCTGTTAAATTTGGGATTTTTTGGCATATAAGTGAATTACAGTGCGAACAGCCTTGAACAGCTCAAAAAATAATGAAAAATGAGAGGAATTAGTCTGGATTAATTCTGGATTGAAGAAGAATAAGATAGGAGAAGAGAAAACTAGGGCTGAAAGCAGAAGAGATTGAATCTACTGATCTCTAATTGTCACCCACTTTTATTAGTAATATAATAAATAAGGAAATTACAAAACTGACCCTGTTTGAATAATAAAAGAAAAACACTCTTATAACTCTGCCGCCAATATACAATCAAAAGCATGTAACTTCTAACACTCCCCTTCAAGCTGGAGCATAAATATCATAGGGCTCCAGCTTGCTACAAAAGTGATTCATCTGAGCATGGCTTAAGCCTTCAGTGAAAAGATTGGCTAACTGATCTTCTGACCTCACATAAGGAGTGACAACTTGTCCACTTGAAAATCAAGAACATACTTTCATTGTGAAAAATGAAATAGAGCAACTTTTGGTTAATTTACTTACAAACATAGGCTAAATGGAAACTTAGGAATACACAATAAGAGGGTAAATTAAGACATGGGTTAAGGGTAACATTATTAATACCTGAGATTGAGGATGTGGTACCATTAGCTAGGATAACAGACTGAAGTATAGATGGAGGAGATAGGGAACTAAACAAATCTGGAGATCCAGTCATATGGTCTGAGACTCAAGAATCTATAACCTAGGTAGTAGACTTAGAATGAGAAGCGAGGCAAGCTATACATGTCTTGACAAGAGTGGTGGTGTTTCTGGAAGAAGACATATGGTGAAGTTTTTTATATTCTTCACGAGTGGTAGATGTATTCATAAGGTAAAAGTCTTCATACTACATCCCCTATTGAAGGTTGATGGAGGGCTCCTCCAAAGGAGGGTCCTGATGTGGGTTGACAAATGGTAGGCTGAGGGGGTAGGATCATTGAACCTATTTTTCATGGTGGACCTTCTTTTGCAGGAGTAGAAGTTCAGGACTGTTATCGGTCTTGAACCCTAATGGATTTCAGGATCGAAAGTAAGAAGAAAGGTAAGAGGAAAGAAGAGGAAGAGGGAGAAGCAGTAGAACACAAGAGTTGAAAGGAGGAGCAGAAGCTTAAT